GGACACAGTGACGGTCGGTGGCTGTGAGGGGCACAGGGCAGTGAGACTGCTGTGACCTTGTCGTGGTGGACACAGGTCATCACACATCTGTCCAGACCCACAATGCAGCACGAGAGTGACCCAGTGTGGACTGTGGGCTCTGGGTGACGATGACGTGTCAAAATAAGTTCATTAGTTGTAAAAACTGTACTATTCTGGTGGGGACACTCGTAATGCAGAAGCTATGCATGTGTGGAAGTAGGGGGTACGTGGGAAATCTCTGTGCCTTCCTCCCAATTTTGCTGTGAGCCTAAAACTGCTCTAAAAAGGTCTTTTAAAAAGAGACAGGCTTGAAACGAGGGTCAGTACTAGGGAGGGGGAAGCTGCTCCTCCATCCCCTTGTCTAAGCATGCACAGTACACACCAACATAACACCACACACACGTAATGTGCATGTGTGCATATGCACGTACACACTCGGTTATGTGTAAGTGCATGCATGCACACTTGGACATACATGTGTGTGTTTGCACACACTTCTATATACTAGCACATTGGTGTGCTTACTTGTACATACATGCACACCCACATGTAATGTGTACGTGCTTGGACATATGTGTGTGTGCCGGTACATGTGTTTACACGCGTGTGTGCACATGCATATGTGCTGTATGGTGCATAGTCTCAGCTACATGCTCACTCTCCCGTGTGCATATGCCTACATGTGTGTGCATATGCACATGTTTGCACTCGTGTATATGTTCGCATGTTTCTGCGCTCCTATATGTGTGCACATGCACGTGCATGTTCCTGTGCATGTCCCCACCCTGTCCCCATGCTGTCCCCCCATATTTCCCCATACTCCCCTACACTACCCCTATGACGACCTCATAGCCTGGCCACCCCTCTGGGCCCCACAGGCTCTCTCATTCTGAGCACACAGATGTTGGAGCCAACCTGACAGTAGCCATAAGCAGGAGGAGCCCTGGGACAGACTGACAAGAGCTGCCTTTCGGGATCACTGTAGGACCTGTGAGACCCTCAGGGCGGGGAGCCTGGCCTGTGGCTCAGACCAGGGGTCTGGGTGATACTCTGTCTGGGGCAGGGCAAGGCTGGTCCCCCCCCCTGCTCTCTCCCTATTCGTGCCCCACCCTTAGGAGTTGAGCATCCAGGGCCTCAGGACTGAGCCCACTTCATGACAGGACAGCCAGCCACCTGCCAGGCCCACCCAGAATAGCCCCTGCCTCGGTTTCCCCTCTGCGGCTGCATGGGATTCACCAGTCAGGGACTTCAGCACGGCCGGCTTACCTGAGGATGACGTACATGACGAGGCCGTTCCCCAGCAGACCCCCGACGCACACGGCCAAGTAGAGCCCCACGATGGTGACCTTGAGCCCGAGGGGCAGGAAGGCCCCGTGGCTGACATTGAGTAGCAGGTCAGGGGGCAGCAAGCTGTGGTTGGGGTTCACAAGGTTGTCCTGCAGGTCGCTGCTGTAGATCACCCAGGGAGGGGTGGGGAAGAGACACTCCATGCTGCTGCCCTGCGTGGGAGCCACTCAGCACCTGGGAGAGCACAGGCGCACGTGACCACAGCACCTGACACCCACCCGGCTGAGACCTCCCGCCCATGTGCACGGCCCAGCAGGCACGTGGACCCCCCCATGGCAGCCACGGTCCTGAGGCACAGGCACACACACAGGGACACAAAGCACAGAGCCATGCCTGCATACACAAGGACACACAGGCACACAGCATGCACACACAGGGACACAGACTCCCACATGGCATGTGTGGATGTAGTTGCACACTCTGGACATGTATCCGCCCACAGGGACGCATGCACATGCAGCTTCCCGTGAGCTCACAGGCACAGGAACACATGTGTGCGCATACACACACACAAAGATACCCAAACCTGCCTTCATGCACACACAGGCACAAAGGGGACTGAGACATGCCCAAAAATACCTGAGATACAGGACACAGGGTGGCTGAGCACGGCTTCCTCCTGCCCCTCCCTGAGAGCAGCAGCCTGGCTGCAGGTCACCCCCACACCCGACACCCATGGGCTCAGGCCTTACCTCCGCAACTCCGTGGGAGCTGGAGCCCTGGAGACGCTAACCCTCGGCCGGCGAGCAGAGCTGGCTGGGAGGCCCTGCTCCGCGTCAGCGCTGGGTCTGGATGGGGCTGCAGCAGTGGCAGCTGCTCCTCCTCAGTAGACGCCAGACCAGACGCAGCAGCCTGGCGCACAGAGCGGGGGAGGGGAGGAGGCTGCAGCTCCGGAGGGGGAAGGGCCGCGCAGGCTGGAGGAGGGGGCTGCAGAGAAGGAGGATCACCAGGCTCCACTCTGGGTGGGACAGACACAAGGACCAGGGCATGCATTTAGAGATGAATGACAGAGACAGGCTCAGACCCACAGAGCCAAGACAGAGACAGGCTCGGATACAGAGACAGGAGCAGAGATGCAGACAGGAACTCAGACATGTGGACAGACCAACACAAGGACAAGGGGACTCAGGGACAGACACACACACAAGGACAGAGACTCACACACAGACATGGGACAGACACGGTGAGGTGCACACAAAACACACGGACTGGGATGTGGGGCCATGTCTTGCGTGTTTGCATGATGGCCGTGGACGGACTTGTTTGAGGCCCCCAAGGAGCAGAGCCACAGCGGGCCAGCAGGTGGGTGGACACAGCAGTGCCCCTACCTGGCCAGCCCTGAGTGGATCAGAGCCTCGTTGTCAACAAGCAGGATATACCTGGACTCTCGTGTGCGCCCTGTGTGCCTACTGTGTGCCCCGCGTGCCTCCTGGGCTCCCAGCCGGTCACAAGCTGAGCTCACCCGTCCTTCAAACCTGGCCATTGCTGTCAGCATCGCCTTTGTGCATCGAAAGCAGGGAGACTCAGAGGTGTGAAGCCACCTGTCAGAGTGGCAGAGACAAGGTTTGAACCCAGGTCTGTCACTTTGAGATACACTAAGGGGGTCTGTCACAGTGGGTCCCTGGGTACATCTGAGCATCATTCTCTCACGGCCTGGGCACTCGGCCTCCACGCAGCCCCCGTGGAGAAGTTCCTTCCTAACACGAGCCACATGCCATGTGAGGGACCCCTCAGCTGAGTCGTCAGCTCCACCTGCCATGGGGCTGGTCTTCCTGCACAGGCTCTGCCTTCAGCCCAGACCCTGTCTGCATATCCATCTCCAAGGATGGGGACCTGGTTGCTGGGTGACTGGCACAGCGTCGCTAGGATACCTGGCCAATCAGGAAAGGACAGAGCAGGCAGATGCCCCAGGACTCAACATCCCAATCTGCCCCCACAACTTAGCTCTGCATTTCCGTGGCAGTGGACTCAGGGACATGCGTGTAGACATGGAGCACTGCCACAGAGACACGCAGGCTCACATGCCTGCAAACACAGAGATGCCCACACAGGCACACGGGGAAACACAGACACGGATACATGCTCAAGAATGCACACACACTAGCAGGGACGCACAAACACATGGCCATACACATGCAAATCCACACCAGCGTGCATGGGAGGCACACAGGTAGACACAAGAGAGCTGGGAGAGAGCAGACAGACACAAAGATCAAGGCCCTTAGACACCTGGAGTACATACATGTACCTCCCTCTCTAGGGGAAGCTTGAAGCTTGATCCCCTTGACCTCAGGAAACCAGGAGGCTCACCTCCTACAGCCCCCCCCTCCCCCCGGCAAGGCTCAACAGGGCTGAGCAACCAACCCAAGTCCCTCCTGCAACCAGGGAACCTCTGTGCAAAGCCCTGAGGTGGGGGGCCTGGAGGATGGACAGTCCTTCCAGGGAGCCTGGGGGTGGGGTGCAGGCTCAGGAATCTAGGGACAGAGACTCATAGTTTACTCTCTCATCAGGAAGCCAGAGCGAGCTCGCAGAAACAATGGGAACAGTCAATAGACCCCTGCAGAGAGGCCAGAACTTCAGCTGAGACCCCACTCCAAAGCCTGAACCATCTTGCTCAGGGGCTGAGGTCCTGAACTCTCAAAAAGGTCACTTCATGGGCCTCAGCGCCCACACTTGGCCTCAGGACACATCATGAGTGAAGAGGAGAGTGATGCAGGCACTGTGGAAGCCACCGATACTTGAACAAATTATGAACTAAAGCACTAATTTGGGCCCAATGTAAACTGTAGGATGAGCATCAATTCCATTAATGAGTGTGTGAATAAATTATAGAATAAACTGAGCCCTGAACTGGTTCTAGAATAGTGTGAAATCACACACACACACAAATGGATCACAGAAATCCAGGACCCAGAGGTTTAGGGTTCAGCAAAACCCGGGTCTGATCTTGAGGGGCCCCACCTTGCCCGGGAGGTCTTGTGTTTTGCCCCACTTCCGGTCTGTGAACACCAGCGGCTATAGGGTGGCCCACGCAGAGGGAAAAGGCCTCAGCTGGACAGTCTCGTAGCTGCGCCCCCAGCCTCAGAACCAGCCACTGAAGACCTCCCCAGTCAAGCGGCTGGGCGCACAGACCCCAGGGCAGTGTGTTCGGGGCTCCCCAGAGTGGAAAGAGAGCGCACCGGGGCTGGGGAAGCTGCGACCGGCTGAAGCAGCTGCGGCATCTGGCCCCCGGGAGGGCCGACGCGCACCTGGGCCCCGGTTCTGCTGACGCCCTACGCTGGAGGCCGCCCCGCCCCCTCCGGGTTAGGAGGGGCGAGGCTCCGGTTGCCGGGCAACCGCGTCAACAGGCCGGAGAGAGTAGGGGCTTTGTTGGAGGCTCAGACTCCAGAAGGCAAAAAGTATGGGGTGTGGGAAGGGGATGGAAGGATGGGGGGCAGGACTTGGTCCGGGGTCTGGGGTGCTGTGGGATGGACCCCGGGAAGGCAGGAGCCCTGCAGGACTCAACCGGGACCCTCGGGGTGTTTCCATGTTCCCTCTGGTGGACCCTTCCCCTCTATTCCCTCCACTCTCTAGACCCAGCAGGGGACAGACTAGAGGATGAGTCTCCCCTGAAGTACACCAGCTGTCCATCTGGCTCTCAGCCTCCCCTGGGGCCCAGCGTCGTGGGGGAGGGTCCACCAAGCCTCCTAGAGCGGTCTCACCCGGTCTCCACCCTGAGTAGGGCCTGAGGTCAAATCAGGGGTCTCATTTTCTCAGTGGACAGGAAGGGAATTTCCTGAAACTCCCAGATTTGAGTTCTGCCAGGTCCGAGTGGAGACTGACGCGAAGCGTGCTAGGCTTGAGCAAAGGCACAGCGGCTGGCAGTGCGGGACGAAGGCGGCTCCGCGACCTAGAGGGGCGCCAGACCAGGGGGTGGCAGGTGCCCGAAGGACAACGTTCCGGCACCAACAGCGGGCGCCTTCTTCCCTTGGCAAGGCCGAGGATGGCCAACGAGGCCGGGCGCAGAGACCCGCGGGAGCGAGCGGGGAAGGGCGCGCCGGGCGCGGGGTCCCGTAAGGAGCACGCCAAGGGAGCACCGGTGAGGGAGCCCCCCCAGCCAGGCTGGGCTCTAGCGCTGGAGAGGCTGGAGGCCATGAGCCCCACACAGTGCCACCGCCACCTGCTCTTCGGCGACTTGCTTGAAGACGTGGGTGCGGCCTCCTCCATCTTCCCGCGCGAGTCCGCAGAGCTGGGGTACCGCATGCCCGACCTGCGGGCCTGGACGCAGTCACCTGAGCTGCCCGCTGCACGCCAGGACCGGCTGCTCGGTGTCCTCAAGGCAGCCGAGGCCCGGGGCCGAGTCCGCGCCTTGCGGCTGCGCTACACGTACATGCGGGTGAGGCGAGGGTGCCGGAAGGGGGTGGGCATGCGAGAAGGTGGGGGCAGGCTTGCAGGGCAGACCGGCCTGGGTCCCCTGAGGAAAGGGGGAGTGGAGATGGATCAAACGGGGTGGAGACTGGAGGGGGCTCCCTGCCGGAGGGGTGAAGGCGGACTGACGGGGCGGGGGCGGGGTGGGGGACGACCCGCTAGGGCAGAGTCGAATAGGCTCCCAAACACCTGCACACCCTAACCCGGCCCCGCAGGCGGAGGAGATCTCGCTCCTCATCCAGCGACAGAAGTCCGCGCGCGCCGCCATCCGGTTGGAGATGTTCCTGCCGCCCAAGCTGAAGCCCACTCGGATCCCGGACCCCCTGAACCGCCAAGAGGTGCACGCAAGCCCCCGCAGGGACAGAGAGGGGGCCCCGCCCACCTTCCTGCACACCTGGCCCCAGCCCCTCTCCCCCGCAGCGGAGGCGCGTGGAGACCATCCTGGAGGAGAAAGTCGGTGGTGGCAGTTTCCTGCGTTGACTTGACAGCAACCCCACAGTGCGCGAGCACACCCCACCCTCCCACATAAAGTCCTCATTCTCCAAGTGCCTGCTGGTCTTTGTGCTCCTGCCTCCAGGTCCTCGGGAGGGGGAGGGGGATGACATGACAGGCATGGGGGTACACAGAGTGGGGCACCTCCAACAAAGCAGGATGGTGCAAGTGGGCAGGTGTCAGATCAACAGAGGACAAGGACACCCTTACCCCCCCAAATCCGGGACTGCCCCCATCAGGCAGCCTCCTGCCCGCGAGTCCGCAGAGGCCACGAAAGGGAGTAAGAAGAGCCTGGCTCGGCAACGGCCACAACTGCAGCAGCAGAAAGTAAGGGCGGCCTTGGGGACCCCAGGAGGTAATCTGTCCCATTCCAGGATCAGAGAGGAAAGTGACATTCTGGGCAGGGGAAGTGACTGCACAAGCCAGAGCTGGCCTAGGAGAGTCAGCCTGCCGGGAGGTCCTCCAGAGAGCTCAGAGATTGGGAGAGGAAGACCCTGGCAGGGAGGCCCCTCTGGTTCTTCTTTTCGTCCTGAATGGCCTCCTCTGCTCCTCTCCATTTCCCTTACCAGCCCACCACACACACACACACACACACACAGAAGGAAACTGCCGCTGTCCCATTTGGACAAACCCATGTCCTAAAAGCCTTCTAGATTCTGAAGAGCCTCCAAGTTTCTGGACAGATCTTCGAGAATATTCTTGCTGTTTGCAGAGCCCAGGACTCCCCTCAGCCACCCCTCCCAGCCAGGACCAGCAGGCTGCAGTGGGGGCTGCAGGGACTCAGACCAGCCCCACCCTTCCAGGGGGCTCCTGCGGAGTGGGCTGCATTGGACAACACCCTGGAAAGGTGCATTCTTTACCCACCGAGGTCACAGCTGGGGTCTGGCAAAGAATCTTGCTCAGTGGCAGTCAGTGCCCCTCCGTGGCCCAGCTCAGGATGGGGACAGCCGCAGGGGGACCTGGGCCCTCTGTGCCCTCAGCAAGCCCTTCTCCTGCCTCAATGACCCTTTGCCCTCGCTGGGCTATTGCTGCCTTTGGCCTGGATCACACCAAGAACTATGTGTGGAGCTGGAGTCTGGCAGTTCCTGGAGGGTGGGGAGAGCTATGTGTGGTGCTGGTGGGAGGGAGGTGTTAGGAAGGGAGAGGGAAAGAGAGAAGGTGGTCTGGGCCAGGAGACAGACAGGGACCAGGAGGCAGTTTCTCTCCAGGAGTGGTGGCCACTCACACCCTGACATGTCCTGGGTGACAGCCAGCCCTGGCCCTGCTGGCCAAGCTCCCTGCAATCTGGACCCCAGCATTCTGCTTCTTGGGGATGTGCTGAGTGCCTGGGATGATGTCATCTGTTTAGCAAAAGCACATTTCATTTCATCACTTCTCTGAGCCCACATTTCTTCATCTCTCAAATACAGGTCTCAAGAGTCTCGCTCGGCGGATGCCAACCATGCCCTCCACACAGTGATTACTCCATAAGGGTGGGGTCACTCTGCATTAGGCAGGCACCTGAGGGTAGAAGCACAAAACAGACGCACACAGCCCTGAAAGGCCAGCACCAGAGTGCCTCACAGATGGCTGTACCCCAGGCGTCAGGCTGGCACACAGGCACCCCTCGATCCCGTGCCAGGGAGAAGACCCTGTGTCTGCAGAGCAGGCCGAGGGATGTGGCCTAGTGAAAGTGTGGGGCCTGAAGGCAGCTGCTGCTGAGTGAGCGAAGCATGGGGGCCAAGGCTCGATGTAGTGAGGGCTGTGAGGGATCCAGACGGTTCCCAGGGTCCTGGATTCAAATTTCACCTCCACCATTACTGCTGCATGTCCTTGAGTGAGTTCCTGCCCAGCCCACCTGGGCTCCTCCTGTGGAATACGAGGACGCTCTACAGAGAGAGACTCCCCAGAGGAAGTGCAGGAGACCCAGAAAGGCTGAGGCAAAGGGAATGGAGAATAGGCCCAAGGGGCCAGAGGACATGGAAGAGTAGCCCGAGGGGCAAAGAAGTGTTCAGACCCCCACCCACGGCCAGCTGCCCCAGATGGGTAAGAGACACCACACCAAGGGATCAGCCTCACTGTGTGACCTTGACCAGGTACTGGTCCATCTTTGTAGGACATACCTCTGAGGACTGTTATTAGGGCTAAAGAAAAACCAGCTGCCCTGGCCAGTTTGGCTCAGTGGTACAGTGTCGGCTCATGGACCAATGAGTCCTGGGTTCGATTCCAGCCAAGGGCATGTACCTGGTTGCTGTTCATCCCCGGCCCTGGTCGGGGTCGTGCGGGAAGCAACCAGTTGATGTGTCTCTCTCACGTCGATGTTTCTCTCTCTCTCCCTTTCTCTCCCTCTCTCTCTCTCTCCCACTCTATCTGAAGATAAATGGAAAAATATCCTCCGGTGAGGATAAAAAAAGAAAAGAAAAGAAAAACCAGCTGCCTTCCGTCCTGGCGAGCCTGTCAATATGGCAGCCAAGCCCCCTGGGCCCACAGCATCAAGAGGCACCCCAGGCTCCAGGCCTGTCACCTCTTTACCCTCCCCCCCAGCATGGCCTCCACCCTCCCAGGCTCTGTCCCCCCAGAGGCCGCCCTGCACACCCTCCCCCTCTGCCTCCCTGCCCTCTTCACCTCTCACCCAGTTTGCAGTCTGTTTGTAGCCTGCTCCAGGGCTGGTCTGCCTTGCACACTGAGAGGTCCCACTGCCTGACACACAAGGGACACCCAGACACTTGCTGAATGAATGAAGAGTGTGTGTTAATACTTCCCTTCACGTCTCAGTGTTCTGAGGACGTGGACATAGGACGGCTTGTGCCGTTAAAAGTCCTTCTGTGAGCAGGACCTGGCACCAAGAGCTGGTGAGGCTGAGTGCCTACGCAAGGGACAGGAACCATACATGATCAGAACAGGGGATGCAGGCCATTTCCAGAGTACAGTCAGGGCGACTGTGACCTGGTCAAAAGCTGGCGGGGGTAAGGAACTGAACAGCTGTACCAGCTCATAGAAGGAGGTGGGTGCATAGGCCAAAGAGAAGGGGCAGGACGTTCGTGGCAAAGGGAAGGATTTGGCTTTAAACTGTAGGACACCTTGGGGCAACTGGAGAGGTTAGAGGAACCCATGGATAGGGACATTTGGTGACTCCAGATGCAAGAACCCATACCCCCAACATCCACTGCCCTGCAGCCCAGCACCCCTGCCGCTCCCTTGGTAGGGCCCCTACAAGGGAGACAGCGCACTCCGAACCCCGTTTTACAGGTGAGGGCACCAGAGGCAGGGCAGAGCAACCAGCGGCCTCTTATTCAAGCGGGGCAGGTAGCGTCTGGGGACGCCGGAGTCTCGAGGGCTCTCGTGCTCCGCACTGCACCAGCGTCTCGTGGCCATCCACCGGAATGGCAAAGCCAGAACGGCCCGGTTGAGCTGAGTCGGGGGCACGGCCACACCCCAGCTGCTACAGAGCCAGCTCCGGCCTCCCTGGGGCTGGAGGCCCCATTGCTAGCACCTCACCTCCACCGGCCAGCCGTGGCAATGGTGGGGACCCAGGCGCCAGGCCGGCCCCGGAGGGGTGGTGGGGAAGGGGCGGGTGAGGCGCAGAGCCGACCAAGCGCGGGGCGGGGCGCGCCCGGCGGGGCGGGCGGGGCGCCTCCCCGCGCGAGGAAGTCCCTGCCCCGCGCTTTGGGGAAGTGCGGCCCAGGCGCCTGCGCACACCACCCCGCGCCCCGTCCGAGACGATCCGGCCGGACCTCGGAGCGCGGGCCCCGCGGCGCGGAGGCGCGAGCAGCTCGGGAACGCCGCCGGTGAGTGCGCGCGCCGGGCGCCGGGCGCCGCAGCTCTGCCCCTCCGGGTCGTGCGGGCCGGGAGCCTCCGGAGCAGGCTCCGGGATCCGCACCCCAAGGACTCCCGCCGCGGGGTCCACGTGGACCCTGGGCCGCGGCGGGACTGGAGTCCGCCCCCACGCGCGTGGGGGAGGGGGCGCTGCAACCGGGTTCCCCTTTTCTGCAGCTCAGAGCCTGGGGAAGTGATTGCTCAAAGGGGGGGCCGGAAGAACCCAGGTTTCCGCGTCTCCCGCCCCCCTCAGCCTGGTGGGGAGGGGCCGAAGCGGGACACCCTGCCCGCCCCCGCAGCGTTGGATCTAGCCACCTCTCAGCCCTGCGAGTCGCGAGGGAGGTGCTGCGCCCCCCGCCCCAGCCGATCCGGCCCGGCGCCGGCCTCCCTCCGGAGCGCCGCAGGAGAACCTCCTGCCGTCTGACTTGAGTCCCTGCAGTGTACATCCCTTCAGCAGCCAGGGTGGGGCCCAGGCCGAACCTGGCCCCTCCCGCCCCCACCTCGCCTTTGGGTCACTGGTGAGTGGGGCGCCATGGCGAGCTCCCGAGGTGGGGGTGGGGGCGTCAGAGACCGGAGCAAGGGGTCCCAGCAGAGGACAGGCTTTTCAGCCAGACCCTCCCAGCAGAAAGAGGAAGAGAGAGAAGCGAGCCCCTCATCCACCACTGCAGAGGTGGGCTGGGGCGAGGGTCTCGAGGGTTAGGAAAATGGGCCTGCCTTGGGTGAGCCAGTCTGGGGCTCCCCCACCAGCCAAAAGTGTGGGGGAGAGGGGGCAGCAGATAGGAAGGGTACTGATTAGGGTCAGGAGGGAATGGAGCCCCTCTGTCAACCCCCCTCCCAAAGGTTATGGCATTTTTTCTGGGATTGTCACATTTTCTCATTCTTTTTTTGGACTGGAGTCGTTCTTTTTCCTTCTGTGGAGCAGAGCAGCAGCCACTCCCAAGGGAGCCTCTGTCCCTAGAGGCTGGACTTGCTGCCTGTCCAGCCTCTTTCATCCCAGACGGGGAGGGTGGGGGGGGGAGGCTTGAAGGGGCTGGGGAAGAGGAACGACCCCCCCTCCAAATGCCAGAATGAGGAGCAAGAACCCCAGTTCAGACCCTATGGCCACCCAGGAAAGAGTAGGTGCCCTGGGTGCAGAGGTGGCCCCAACCAGCCTGAAAAGGGTATTAGGAGTCGGGCCCAAGGCCTTGTCTCCCTCTGCCCCAAACTTGGACCCCAGTACCTGGGCCCTGCACCCTCGAAGAGGTCCCCTCCAATTCAGAGCTAAGTTGGAGATGGCATCTGATGTGGGTACAGTCTTCAGGTGCTAGGGGTTGGGGTACAGGACTGGGCCCCTGCCCCCACTCACAGTGGGTGGGGGTGCAGAGGAGGAAGAGCAGCTCTCCTGGGGGAAGTCACAGCAGTCTGGGGTACAGCTACTAGACCTCAGAGGTTGCCACACCCCTTCCTTTCCCTAGAAACTTGACCCCTGAGGGAAAGGCTGTGGTGCGGCTGCTTCCCCATCTGCTTGCTGGGAGCCTGTGGGACCCAGTGTGAGCCCCATGATCTCCAGGTGGTAAGGGGCTGCGGCCCCATGGGTCAGGGCAGAGGCCTCTGTGTGCCCAGGCCCTGGCGGCCCGGCGGCCCTGTGATAACCCGTGCGCTCACAGGGTCCTGGCCCAGGACCGGGCCAGAGCCGGAATGGAGCCTTGCTCCAGGAGCTACCTGGCCTGGTGCCCGCCTGGGGCCTGTCCCTAGAGCACCCTGCCCTCCTGACCCTGGCTGAGGCCAACATGGACCAAAAAGGGCTAACAGGCCCCCAGCTGAGGGATGAGAACATAAAGTGAAACCAAGCTGTGAGCCTCCTGCCGGCTGAGACAGGTGGTGGGGACGCCTCACCTGGGCCGCAGTGGGCGCAGGCGGGCGGTGGCGGGGAGGCCTTCAAAACTGCCTCCAGGGCGCTGATTGGCTGCCCTGTGCTGTCACTGCTCCGACTGGAATCCCAGCGGGCCTCGCGGAGGACAGCGGGGAGGGGGCTTCCCGGTGAGATGTCAGCGTAGGTGCTGCGCAGACGCTGAGAAGGGCGCACCCCCTTCGTCCCCCGGGTACCCCGAAGTTCCTACCAGGGAGCAGGACATCCCCGCCCACTGCTGCCCCCCCCCCCCCCCCCCGCGTGCCGCCTTGTGGCGAGGCAGCGGTTTCCGCAGCCCGATGGGGGAGGGGGAGAGGCGGGAGACCTGGTCCGTGAGTGGCCGGCTGGGGTAGGGGCTGCCAGGGACGCGCTCAGTGGGAGGAGCGGTGGTCCATGGGAGGCTCCCAGCCCGGCTCCCCTGTGAATCCACTTCCTGCACCTTCAGGAAGTCCTGCTCCTTTCCCACTCGGACCCTTCAGGCTTTGGACATAGGCGGCTGCCCCTTGGTGAGCCCCAGTGACCACCTCCACTACTCTGGGTCCACAGGCAGATCAAGGTTCCTGGTGGGAAGCAACCTGCCCACTACCCCTCACACACACACACCCACAGAACACCCAGGATGGAGGAGCGGGGATGGGAGTTCTGAATGTCCCACCACCACCCCTATACACCAACCTGATAGACCCAGACTCTTGGGGCCCCCAGTGCCCTTGGGGGTGGGGCCAGAAGCCGGAAACCAAGAAAGAGGAACCCAAGCTTCCGGCTTCCCAGGGACTGAGCAGATGGGGGTGTCCCAGAACATCCTGTGTTCTTGGGGACCCCTCCTCACAACCGTGCACCCTTCACAGCCCCGGTGTAGGCTGGGGTGGGGTGCAGGCAGGGGAGCAGGCCCTGCTGGGGCACTGAGAAGGAGGGAAGCCTTCTCAAGAGCCCTCTCGGGGGGCATGGAGAGACAGGGGTCTCAAGTTCCCTGAGAACCTTGGCCTCTCTTCTCAGACCCCAGGTTGTGGTGAGGGTCCCGAGCCGGCACCACGGAGCCCCGGCGACCACCTCCACCCCACCCATGCCCACCGAGCATGAGGCTGAGAAGCAGGTGCACCACCTCCACCCCTGCCTCTGTCACTTGGGGGGCTGGGGGAGGTAACAAGGAATTGAGGGACCCTCCTGCACCTGGGAGGCTGGAAGGGTCCTGCCCTTGGGAGCGTGGCCACCAGCAGGCAGCCCACGAGGAGAGGTGGGTGCCCGCAGGTCGGTGCCTGAGGCGGCCCGTCTTCCCCCAGCACACAGGGCCAGAGGAGGCAGACCAGCCTCCCTCCATGTCCAGTCATGCGGCCCCCCCGGCTGCCCCCAGCCGCAACCCCTGCTGCTTGTGCTGGTGTTGCTGTTGCAGCTGCTCCTGGTACGTGGGGGGGTGGGGCGGGGCTGAGCAGACCTGGCCCAAGATCCCACTCCCTGACCCTCGGGTGGCTTCTGAGGTGTTGCCCACAGGCAGGACGCCCCTGCCACCCACAACACCTGTCTAGGGGCTGCTGGGCACTGGTGGCCGCCGGCCAGTGCCCCAGCCCCGTGTGTGCACCCCTGTCCTCTTACTCAGCACACGCTCACTGACTGCCTGGAGCCAGCCCCGCTGGCCTCGCAGACCCTGCAGGCCGGCAGGTAGAGGGGCGCCGAGCAGAGACCTGCCCTGGGACACACCTCCAGAGCAGCCTGCCCGCGTGGGTGTAGGGCCTCCATGTGGCCCCCGGGTTTTGTAGGCATCTGGGGAAGCTGTTGGCATTTTTGTGCCTCCGAGGCCTGGCCCCACTCCGGCTTCAGGCCTTTCACTGCTGAAAGGGACCAGCTGACCAGTGAGCAACCAAGGCCTGAGCCCAGGCCCAAGATGGTAGAGGGGTGGCCTGGGGGTGGGAGAACAGGAAGAGTTAGGGTTCACGGAATTTGGTTTTGGAGGCCAAGGGCGAGTTTGGAGGCAGGCAGGCAGCAGTAGGTGCCGAGTTGTATGTGGATTGTGTGTGGACGCTTCGGTGTGAGGTGTGTGTTACCAGGTGTGGGTTTGGGAGCCAGCCTCCAGGGCCAGGGGTCTGTGGCAGAAGGGGAGCAAGGTCAGGCAGGGAAGTGCACCAGGAGCCCACGGAAGCCCCAAAGGCTCAAACGGCTGAAGAGGCTTTGGCCCTGGGGCTGGGACGGGGGAAGGAGCAGATCCAGGGCCTCCACCTGAGCAGGCTCACTCGTGCTGTGTCCCGTGTCCACACACGGGCCTGCGTGTCTGCCATCAGGAGCGAAGGGCGACGGCGAGCGTGGCGGGCTTCCGGGGAGAGCAAGCTGCAGCCCCTCCCCAGCTGTGAAGTCTGGTGAGTCCGGGGCTGTGCGGGCTGCGGGCTGGGGGTCTAGGCAGACCACACGGGCCTGACCTGGGGCGGGTGCCCAGCAGCACGCCGAGCCCCGAGGAGGTGCAGAGCTGGGCGCAGTCTTTCGACAAGCTGATGCACAGTCCCGCGGGCCGCAGCGCCTTCCGGGCGTTCCTGCGCACGGAGTACAGCGAGGAGAACATGCTTTTCTGGCTGGCCTGCGAGGAGCTCAAGGCCGAGGCCAACCAGCACGTGGTGGACGAGAAGGCGCGGCTCATCTACGAGGACTACGTGTCCATCCTGTCCCCCAAGGAGGTGAGCCTGGACTCCCGCGTGCGGGAGGGCATCAACAGGAAGATGCAGGAGCCGTCTGCGCACACATTCGACGACGCGCAGCTGCAGATCTACACGCTCATGCACCGGGACTCCTATCCCCGCTTCCTCAGCTCCCCCGCCTACCGCGCCCTGCTGCTGCAGGGGAGCTCCCAGTCCTCCCAGGAGGCCTAGGCACCCACCCGCTGCGAGACTCGTCGCCTTCCCGTGTGCAGCAGCCGGGGTCAGGCACGCCAGGCCCAGCACCCTGGGGCCCTGCTAGGTAGGAGCTCCCCGTGCAGGGCAGGCGGGAGCCCTCCCCACCCAGGGGACCTAGTGCCCCAAGGTCCTGCTAACAGGCAGGTGTGCTGCCGGCCAGGAGCTCCTGTGGCGAGAGGAGGACCCTCCAGGAGGCATCTTGGACCCACCAGCCTTACTGGGCCCCTCCCCAGGCAGCCGGGGACCTCGGAAAATGCCTTTAGTGGGGAAGAGGACCCCTGTACTCTAGTTTGGTGACTTGGTGAGATCCTCTAGACCAGGCTCAGGTGACAGACCCCAGCATCTCTCTTCGTGTTCGTTCATTTTCAACCTGGAAGTGTCCTCACTGTATTTTACTCAAAAAAAGGTTGTTTTCATATTTATCTCCATCCCGCTCTCCCAAAATAGGATTATCTTATTATTGAAGATGTTTTTAAAGCAAGTCTCCTCTCTTTCCACATCTCAGACTCGGGACAGGGGAGCAGCCAGGCTGAGGGGACCTGCCCCACGAGCTCTTCCCCACTCCCACCCTCGGGCGAGGGCCCAGGCAGGTGCGCCCCCAGCACCCCCCACGACTGGCAGTACAGTGGGAATCACAGCCCAAGCCTTGGGTGGGCGGGATCCTGGAAGGCACTTGAGGCCCCTGGAGGCTGGCCAGCGGGGCAGTACACGTGGGGTGACCTTCCCCCAAGGGTCCCGGGTGCCAGGCACTGTTACCTCCGACGTGTGTCAGGCACGTGCTGGCCACTCCAGCCCCGAGTTCCCGGGATGCAAAGATTTCGACACTGTCTGGTCCAGGGCACCGAGGACCCTTCAAGAGCAGAGGCTGGGACCCAGGCTTGCCTGGCCCTGCACACGCCCTGGGTAGGTGACCCGAGTCCTCTGTGTGCCCAAGGCCCCTCCCACCCAGTCCGCCCAGGGCTGCTCCACTGGGCTGCAGGCAGTGTCACCTGACTCCAGGAAGGAGGGGTGCCCCTGAGGCAGTGGGGGCCCAGCTCACAGCCAAGCCTGCACATGGCCCACCAGGACCCAAAGCCAAGGACAGCTTGGTGGCAAAAACAAACATTTAATAATTGGGAGAAGGGTGTGCTGTGGTGGGGGCGGGGCCTGCTGCCCTCCGGGACAGCAGGAGGGCACGGGGCGGGTCTTCAGAGAAGCTGCAGAGGGTGCGGCTGCAGGGCTGCAGGAGGGCTCAGCAGAACTGCAAGGAGGGGACAGGCATCCAGCCACTCGGCCTGGGGACCCCGCAGGGCAGGGGCAAAGGAGGGGTCTCCGCCACCCTCCCCAGAGTTCCCAGGAGGCCAGCTGGGCAGGGCTGTCCCCCAGTTCACACCACACGGACCCCACGCAGAGAAGGGCTGGAGGGCCTGGGCTCACCCACTTACCTTCCAGCGGTTCCCACACTCGTTGCAGACAACGAACGTGGTCATGGGCTCGTCAGAGCTGCGGGTCTGCACCTGCGGAGGGGACAGGGTGGGGGCCCCCAGCCCCAGGGTCTGTCAGGTGGCGTAAGACAGTAGGTCTCTCCTGGAGTCGTAACCTGGGAGGCCACCATGCTGGCCTCAGCCCTGGGCCCTTGCGGGTGACCTGTGCTGACGCTGCCCCAGCCACCTGACCACTCTTACCAAGGCCCCACCGGACACCTGGGTCCACAGAGCGTAACCTCCACGGACCTGGGTGCAATCCTGCAGCTGCCGCCAGGGAGCACAGCACACCCTCCTCCCGCCAGTAGCAAGTCCTCAGGGCCCCGATACTGGGCCGGCCAGGTCCCCCAACCTTAGTATCCACAGCAAGCAGGACCCGGCCCCAGAGACGCTGCTTACCGGAGACCAGGGGTCCTGGGCAAGTGGGGAGGCCCCAGAGGTGACCACCACTCCCTGGCCTGCGCCCCAGACCATTAGCACCAGGCGTGAGGGCGTGGACCCCACGCACAGAGCCAGCCCTGAGGACACGCCCGTGGGGCTGGCAGCCACGCACCTGAGTGTAGGTGCAGCTCTTCTTCCTGCACCTGCCGCAGGTGAACAGGTCTGTCTGCGTGCCGCCCGTGCGGGCCATCTGGTGCTCGCGGATCGCCTCCTTGGTCATCGCCTTGCGGATCTCCTTCAGCTCGTCGCTGGCCATCTCCTGGAAGGCGGGGCGCTTAGCTGCTGGGCTGCACCCCGGGGCAGCCCGCCCGGGTGGGGGGTTACCTCCGATGTCATCACCGCGATCTGCTGGGGTGTTATGGTGCCGCACAGCACGTTCCGCCGCAGGTCCGGGTTCTTGGCATCCTTGAGGTTGGAGATGCGGCTCCGCACACGGTTCTTGTACTTCATGTCAGTGTTCCCCACGTCGCGGAAGATGCGTGCAGGTGTTTAAGGACCGTCACCGGCCGGGCTGATTCCCTCCACCCACCCTGTGCAGCTATGGGGGGCTCCCCATAGGGACTACAGGGCTGGGGCTGGGCAGGAAGAGGAGCCTGGCGCTCGGGTCAGTCTGCCCGCTCAGGTCTGTCAGGGAGGTGCAGGGCTGCTGGGCGACCCTCCCTGCACCCGGTTCTGAGGTCCAGGCCCCAGCAGGCAGAAGCAGCCCTCGTCAGGCTCAGGAGTCAACCCACCCCAATACCCGTCAGCCTGGCAAAGGCGCCAGGGTAGTGGCCACCGGGGGAGCTGGGCCTGGCTGGCCCGGAGACAACTGCACCCCAGCCCTCCAGCCCTGGCACAAGGATATACTCCTCTATCTGGGCGGACAGGTGCTCGCAGTCCGCACTGACGGCCACGTGGTCATCTGCAAGAAGCAGCCCTCACCAGCTGCCCCGCTGGCTCCCAGCCCCCCAGCACCCAGGGGGCAGCAGCCAGTGGGGACAGGCTGTCCCTCGGCACTCACGGTCCGTCTGCAGGGCCGCCGTCAGCATCTCACGGCACTTGTTCCGCACGGCATCGCAGGTGACCGGCACCGGGGGGAACGTGGTCATCCTGGGGGTTGACAGCATCCTGGGCAGCTCCGGCCTCTTGCGGCTGGAGAGAGACAGGCCCACTCGGGCCATGTGAGATGAGACACCAGTCCCCAGAAGAGCCAACATCGCAGCCCGTCTCCCCTAAGCCCACCTGCTCCACCCTGAGAGCAGCCTGGCCCAGCATGCCCACAGGCTCTGCCCAGCGGTCCAGGGACAGTGAGGCCACCTGGGTGGGGAGCCCCACAATGGGCACAGCACCGCCCCCAGGGAGGCCCAGATCACAGGACCAGACCACCCAACACAAGCTGCCAAATTGGGAAAGGCAGGTGGAGCTGGTGGTCACCCAAGACCAGATCTGCCCACCAACACAGATGCCCCTGGCAGGGCTGGGCGCCACACCCAGGGCTGCCTCTATCCGTGCTGCACCCTCTAGCCCTCCCCTCATGTCCCTGCATCTCATACTCCCGTGACCCCACGAGGGAGGGAGAGGCTGGCAGTGAGCGATGCCAGTTCAAGGGTGTGCAACCTGAGCTGGCCGCCAAGACCCAGACCGAGGACCGGCCTGGAGCCGGGACATGAGCAGGGTTCCCACGAGCCCGCTCAGGGCCCCAGCAGCTCTTGTGGCCCAGGCATTGCCTTGCCCCTTGATGTGGGGCTGCAGAGTGTCCAGAGGAGCTTTGGAAGGGAGGCACCCCAAGAGGCCAACCAGGCGAGACGAGAGTCCCCTCCGAGAGGGAAAGGCCCGTGTTCGTGTGTCCTTGGCCTGCTCAGGGCGCGGAAATCAGCACCTGCAGACTGAGCAGCAGTTCCCAGGTGGTGGAGGGTGTGCAGCTGCCTTCCGGACTCACTACCTGGGATCCTGGGCCTCGGAGCCCTCCTTCGAGGATGAAGTGGGCAGAGGCCCGCCCCTCCTCCGGTCCCTGGCTTTGGCATCGGAAGCATCTGCAAGTGCCCAGAAGGGGGAGTGGCTGGCTAGGGGAGGGCAGGCCAGAGGGCAGGGCCAGGCCAGGGAGGGGAGCAGACCACCACCAAGGCACAGCTCAGCCCGCTCCCCAGTCCTGGCCCTCACCCAGGCCCAGGTGCTGAGCCTTCCTGCTAAGCACCGGCTGTGGTCCTCTCCTGCCCAGACTCAGGACAGCACCCACACCCCTGCCCGCACGGCCCCCGACTCAAGCAGGCTGCCGGTGGGCCTCTCTGGGGCCTACCCCACGCCCGTCCTGCCAAGGGGGCTGCCGTCCACCCAGAGCGATCCCTGAGTCCGAGCACACACTTCCCCCCGCGACGGTCTCCACAGGTGAAGCATTTGAACTTGGACGAAGACCAGTCACTGCAGGCCGGCAGGACATGGCCATTCCCCAACTGGACCTCAGGCACTGCAGTGAGCCCCACCCGCTGGGCACATCCCCACTGGGCTCCTGAGACCCTGGCCTGCACTGGGGACCTCCCCACAGGAGAGGAGCGTCCCACCCACCACCAAAACACACACACACTTGTCCAACAGGTGGCCCTTTGGCCACGCAGGACTGGAGGGAGGCCCAGAACACACATTTCAGGCTTTGGACAGAGCCCAGAAGAGGCTGGGAGGAGGGGTGGGGTTCAGTGTCCAGAGGTGGGGGCCTCTGCAACCCCAGGCACCCTGCTGTCCCTAGGAAAAGGCTGCCCAACCCGAGTGGCAACACCCCCCTCCTCTCTGCCACCTTCCACTCCCCTTCCCCCGCACTCCCCTTCTCCCCTCCTTTTCCTCACCTCTTGCCCCTTCCTCCTCCTCCCCTCGCTTCTCCCCTGGTCTGGGGCCACTCCCTGCCCTCCTGCTGCCCAGACACGTTTCTCCTGTGTGGCTTCCCCAGCCCTGCACCCACCCTCAACTCCCCTCTCTCCTGGCTCCACATAGAAGCCCCACGGCTCCCAGCCCAGACCAGCTTCCGGGACGGTCTGCTACGCCCCCATCCCCAGGGTCCCCTGCCCCTGCTCAGCCTGACACGCACCCAGGAGCTTCTTCCAGGACTTGATGAGAGACTTGGCCAGCGCGATGACCTCCTCATCAGAGCTCTGTTTCCGCAGGGCGTTGACAGACATGCCGACCCGGGTGGACTGCGAGGCAGGTGTCTGGGCTGAGGGCAGCGGCCAGACCCTCCTCACAGACCCCTGGAAGCACCCACAGGGCAGGGGCTGGGATTGGCAAGGGAAGGGGGACACTTCCCGAGGGCTACTGCCCCATTTGGGACCTAGGAGTCTCAGTGGCAAGGGAGAGCTGGGTCACCCTCAGATGTCTGCCCATCTCAGAACAACAGAAAAAGGCAGGGACGGCCGCCTCAGGGAAGGTACTGTGCCTAACCAAGGACAAGGCCAGGGCCAGGGAGCTGCCAGGTGCCCAGGAGCTGTCCCGAGCAGGAAACACACGGGGCCCTACCTGGAGCAGGTGCAGCGTGACTGGCATGGCCTTCAGCTCCCGCAGCAGGTCCATGGCTCCCTCCTAGAAGGAGAAGGAAGTGCCTTCATGAAGAACTTTGAGGTCGTGGTGGAGCCCACCTCAGACACGCGGGTGGGGGGCTACACAGCAGTGAGAGCTGGGAGGTCCACCTGGGCTCGGATGCCCGGGGTGGGGGGGCTGTGCACGCAACCCCAGCATGGCAGGTCACATGACTACTGACCTGGCATCAGCCACTGACCAAGTCAGGATGGTGGGAAACACCTTGAAGGACCACAGCTCAGTGCAGGTGTGGCCCCAGGGGCACCCACTCCCCTGTGCAGTCCCATATCCATTGCCCAGATGGGTCGGGTAGCCTCTTCCTAAAGTGGTCCCCTGACCCCCTGACAGGGACCGGCCCAGGACCCGTCAGTGTCCCCTGCTGAAACCAAACCTGCAGGGCACCTGCACCATACCCACACCCAGCAGTTGATGAAAGTCCCACTCCCCACCCCATCAGCCTCTCCAGGAGTCACTCATCCCTTGGCCAGCCATCAGCCCCCGCCTGGACTACTGCACAGACCCCTGGTCTCCTTCTGCCTCAGCCCCACCTGTTTTCTCAACTCCCTCATACGGTGAAGCGCCTTTGCTCACTGTTCCCAAGTGTGCCAGGCTGCTGGCCTCCGGACCTCACACCTGCTTCTCCCGCAGCCAGGGGGTCTCTCCTGGGGTGTCCAAAGATGTGTGCCTGCCCTCCCTCCCTCCCTCCCTCCACAGCTTTGTTTAAACGACACCTCAGCAACCACACCCATCAGCATCCCCCTCCTCCCTGCTGTTCTCCCCACAGATGCTTCACTTCTCAACGCACTGTTCTCACGTGTCTATCCCATGACATAAAGGAGCACAGATGATCCCACCCAGCCACCCAAGGTTGTGAGAGCCTCAGATGTCCCAGGCCGTGGGAGGGCCTGGCCTGCCGGCACCACCAATCTGGGTGGCATCTCTGCTCAGGCTACAGCCCTGGGGTGACCTCCTCAGAGGGGACAGATGGTCACCAGAGCCAAGGGCACAGTGCCACTCACTGATCATCTTCCCCCAAACGGAACCTCAGACTTCACAATGCCAGCTTTCTGGGGCTCCAGCCGAGGCGCTCATGGGCACTGGGAGCACCAGGAGCTTCTGCTAGCTCTCGCCCCCCACTCCACAGTACCCCAGCCCCGCCACCTCCCTTCCAGAAGTTGGCTGGCCACAGCTGCTTGCCTTCTCACCCTCCCCGGGGGTTCGACTCCCCCCAGTTCTGCCTGGCCCCATCCAGCCCTCCATGGGTTTCAGGACCTATATCCGACCCCCTACCCCAGGGGGAGTGTCTATTATTTATTTTGTCTCCTTCACAGGGGAAGTAGCTTCTTTCTCGGGTCATCTCTGAAAAAGGCCCCAGATTGTTCCCACACTCTGATCTGTGCTGCCAGAGGCCCCCCAGGTGTACGAACACAATTGGGGGGGAGGGGTTGCTTGCTGGGTGAACGGATGAGTGAGAGGCACCCCTTTCCCAGAACCCCAGTCCACAGGGACCCAGACAACCCTGTCCACCCCAAGTGCCACCGACCGTCAGTGCGAGCGCACAGCCCGGGATGACGGTGCAGGGACGGAGCCCAGGGGCTGAGCCTCCTGGCAGGGAACCCAGACGCCCAGTGAGGCCAGAGTGGGTCGTGTTTGCGGAGCCTCTCGGGGAGCCAGGGGGACCCCTCCACCCACCCAGGACGCCTCCGTGGAAGGCCATGCAGGTGGCCAGGCCTTGGCGCTGCTGGAACCCCTCCGCCGGGCCCCCCGGCGAGACCCGCGCCGCTCCCGCAAGGCTCCCCGCTCGCGGCCGGCGGGGCCTGGGCCCGGGGGTCCTGCTGCCACCCCGCCCCAGGTGCTGCGGGCGAGTCCGGGCTGAACAACGGAAAGCATTTATTGGGGACACCTGGTTCCTGAGGGTCGGGGACGGTGCGAGCCGCAGCCCAGGCCCCGCAGGGCTCCAGGGCTCCGGTCGGGTGCGGGGAGGCCGGGGCGCTGCGGGGACACCGGCTGGGGCGTCGCGAGGCCCGCGGGCGGGGCCAGGAGGGGCTGCTGGCCCAGCCCCCGGGTCCGGAGTCGGACGGGAAGGGGCGGTCGGCGTCCGGAGCGGGGCTGCGGGGCCAGGTCCAGGCCCGATCGCGGCCTCGGCCGTGCGTGCGGGGGTGACGGGCAGGGCTGGCCGGGGCAGGGGCTCGTCCTGCCCCTCGGGGGTCTCCCCGGCCCTGACGGGGGCTCGGCGGGCTCGGCGGGGGCTCGGCGGGGCGGGGGTCCCGGGGTCCTGGCGGCCCGCGCCCCTCACCGCGCTCTTCTTGGTCACCATCTTGTCCAGCCTCCGGGCGATGCGCGCAATCTCCTCCTCCTTGCCCATCACTGCCTCGGGGGCAGCGCCCCCAGCGCCCGCCGCGCCAGCCTCAGCCTCCCGGCCCGGACGCCAGCCCCGGCCGTCGCCGCCTCCCGCACCCGCACCCGCCGCAGCCGACGCAGCCCTGCCGCGGGAGGGAGACCCTCCGTTCAAACCCTCGGCCCCCGCGCCCGCCGCACGGCATCCTGGGACACGTAGTCTCCGCGCCGCCGCCTCGCGCGCGCTAACCCCCGCTCTGGACCACAATTCCCAGGAGCCTCGCGCGTGCGCAAAGCTTCTTGGGGATTGTAGTCCTGACGCGGGCCGTCGCTGCAGACCTGCGGAGCCGAAGGACTGCCAGTCCCACCAGCCTCCGCACGGTCCGGCTTGCCTGGTGGAGGGCGCTGCGGTGGCGCGTGGGGCTAGGACGTGCGTGCCTGCTGCAGCGTGGGCCCCGGGACGTCCCTCCCGAGCCTCCTTCCTGGAGCGGCCGGGGGTCCCACTGCGCGGGGCTGCAAAGGCACCTTAGAGTCCGTCCCCCCTCTCCACCCACTTTGAGCCCTCGTCTTCCATCCTCCGCTGTCGCGAGGCAGCCGGATCCTGACTCCGGTGCCCTAGAGCCAAGTCCTGCGGGAGACGCCCTGAGTGCTCTGCTCCGGATTCTAGCGTCTGAGGCCTCGTGCGGGGCGCCTGGAGGTGGGAGGGAGCAGTAACCAGATGCGGAGTCTGGGAGAGGCAGGGGCTGGGGTTAGCAAGGCGCCAAGGGACTTGGAGAGGCTGCTTGGGCCAGGACCCTGCCTCCGTACTCAGCTGCAGGATGCAAATCCCGGGCTGCCACTTCAAATAAGGCACTGACCCCTTTGTGCCACAGTCTCCCCGTCTGCGAAATGGGATGTTGATAGTGTCTACCTCACAGGGCTGCTGTCAGGAGGATGTGAGCTGATGTACATCAAGCACCGAGAACCTGGACAGAGCATGAGCCATTAGGTTGTCACCACCCTTGCTGCCAGAGGTCCCAATGAGTTGAAGGGATGGCCTGGCCCAGGGAGAGTTTGAGAGGGGAAGGGCAGCGTCAGCACCTCCACCAGATGTCTGCCACCTCCTCGGTGATGTAGTTGCTGGGCAGGTTGCTGTAGGGGGTACAATTCTGGGAGAGGGTAGAGGCCAGGGGTCTGAAATCTATAGCATTGTGCGCCCTACAGGCACTAAAATTCAAGACAAGTGACTGAGGCCAGATGGCAGATGGGATGTCCAGATGACCTGAGCCGACCATGCCTTGGGCTCTCAGTGGCATTACTTAGATATGACTGAGCTTCCCAGCAGCCAAAGTGAAAAGGGAAGCATAGGTTATGCAATTCCTTAGTAATCATAAGGGAAAAGCATGGAATTCCTCAGGTTTTCCAGGACAGAGGCCCTGTAACAGGTAAACACAGCACCCCTAGTGTACAAACCAGCTCTGATTCTGCCTCTTACCATGAGCCTGGCCCATAGTGCTGAGCCCAGCCCAACTAGGCAAGTCCTCGAGGCCCAAATCTCCTGGTCAGAGAGTGTGTGAAGCCTCTGAGGGTCCGGCACCAGGGACACTAGGGAGGCTGGAGCCACACGCCCTTCAACTTCTCTCAACGGATGACAAATGGCCACAACGAGGAGCTGGCCAGGGTCCTGTGGAACAGAAACCAGGAACTCCAGAGAACTCAGCCCGAGATCAGACAGCAAGGACTGCAAAGCCAGCTCCCCATCTCCCACAAGGATGTGTCCATAAGGCTGCCCAGCCAGGCGCCTGGACACACGGGGGTAAGTGGATTCGAGGACTGCTCAGATGGAACCCCCCTTCATGCTGGCACCACTACTGGGGATCCAACGCGTGGTCACCATGGTCACCGGGGTCGCAGTGGAGCAGCCCTCAGGCTCTGTCCTCTGCAGCAGGGAGATGTGTATTCAAGAGACCTCACAATAGCTTCAGTTCCGATGGGTAGTCAAAAGGAGAGGATCAGGGCAGGACTCTCAGAAGCTTCGCCTGGCTGTCAAGAAGGGTTTGTGCCGGATGTCCAGGCCTCAGTGGGGCGAGTCGGGGCTGTTAGCACAGCCCCCTGAAGGAGGTGGCTGCCAAGGAGCCAGCCTCAAGGCCAGTCCCCATCTGATCTCTCAACATGACGGATAAGCACACAGTGCTGGGGAGGGGACCAGGAGTGCAGATACCCTGGAGAACCAGCCTGCGACTCACCCTGACCCTGCCAGGGTAGACAGCCCCTGGCCATGGGAGGTCCCCCCATCGTGTGCAGAGGTTTGCATAAAGGATGATTCTAAGTGATTGGCTTAGTGCAGTACCTCTCAAGCATGACTAAGGAGCTGGTGAAGAATGAAGACCCTGCTTTTTGTACCCCAGGGAGACTTTCGTCCTCTGTCTCCGGTGGCAGAGGAATGGGCCCCTGCTAGCTAGGGTGCATGCTGAGCAGTGGGCACCTAGAGGAGGGCAGGGGCTCAGGGAGCTGGGGGTGTCCCAGGACTGGGAGGTTGATGGTGATCTGGAGCCTCTATGACCTTACCCAGCTGCTGAGAGGACAGAAGGTGGTCAAAGAGGGACTGTGGAGCCCTAGCCTGTGTGGCACAGTGGTTAGAGCATCGGCCTGTACACCAAAGTGTCTCAGGTTCAATTCCCGGTCAAGGGTATATATCGGTTGCAGGTTCGATCCCCAGCCCCAGTTGAGATGCATGCAGGAGGCAACCAATCAGTGTGTCTCTTTCAGGTCGATGTTTCTCTCTCTCTCCCCCACTCCCTTCCACTCTCTTTAAAAACCAAAGAAAAAAATATCCTCAGGTGAGGACTAACCAAAAAAAGAAGAGGACGAGGGACCGTGGAGGTGCAGGAGACAGAGACAGGGCGAGTCTGGGCGCTGAGGAAGTGGACTGTGGGGTGAGAGGGAGAATACGACAGGGTCTCAGCTTAGGGTCAAGGACCAACCCCCTGTCAGAAAGGAGGAGGGGCGGGAAGGAACCAGGATCGCACTCCCTTCCCACTGCTCTCTGGCGGAAGCGCGGGTACCGTGTCCCGGATCCCGGATCCGAGTGGCGCAGCGGGCAGGGCCCGACCCTGGCGAGGAGGTGGCCAGCACTCACAGCGGCGGCGTGAACTGCAGTGCGCGGCCCTCAGCCGGAGTTGAGAGCCCCCCCCCCCCCAGGATGAGTGCCTAGCAGAGGGCTCTGCCTGTGGGGTTGAGGCAGGGCATCTGGAGAATCGGGCCCAGGGCAATGCAGGTGATGGGGAGGAGGAAGTGGACAGGACGCAGAGGAGGTAGATGGCTTCCAAGCTGGGGACCTGGGGGCCACAGTTCTCCCCGGAGATGGGAGCCCTGAACCCCGACACAGTGCAGTCCTACATGGAAGCCACCACTGCAGGGGGAGGGGTGTGGCCCCCATGCAGAGTGAGGAAGCATCCAGGGTCCCTGTGGGGTGCACCAAGGCCCAGCATGAGCAGTGGCCGCTAGGTGGCAGGAGCGAGCCACGGACCAGCCTGCCAGCCAGGCACCCACCCACCCCCGAGGGAAGTCATGTTGGCTGCCACCACCTTGAAGTAGCCAGAGTGGGACTGCTTGGTGCTGGAGAGAAGGCCTCCAGGAAGCTGTGCGTGGGTCCCAGCCTGGCCAGGGCTCAAACTGAAGGAGCACTGGCCAACCCCCAAACTCCCAGCTCCCCCCCTGAGAGGCCCCTGTCCTTAAGCCTGTTAGGAGTTCCTGATCCCCAGAACCTTGCCCTGATGGATCTTACCTGACCTTGGGAACTTCCCCCTCCAAAGAGCTTTCCCAACAAGCTGCCTGGGCCCGAAGACACTCCTGGGCCCTCAGAGAGCAGCACCCAGAAGTGACTCAGACCTTGGGCCTCTCCTTCCAGGGGGCCAGGTGACCCTGGCCACAGCCTCAGTAGGGCACCCCCTAGGGCTGGGACCTTCCAGATCCACCCTGCCTTATTCCAGGCTGGGTTTGGAGGCTGCGAGCCATGCACAGGGATGTGTGGGGAATGGGGAGCTCCTTACTGGAGGGCAGTGAAGAGGGGTGGGGTGGGAGACAGCACACTGACCTCCCAGCCTTCTGTCTATTCCAAAAACCCTCCTGGACTCTCTGCCAGCCCACCCCTAGGGGGCCTCTCTCAGTTCCCACGATGTCCCAAGGGACACCCCCAACTCTGGAAGCCCCAGCCGGTCGCAGCCACTCATCGCAGGGCTGTATTCTGTCCTGGGCTCCCACACTCCTCCCCTTTACTGAGAGAGACGGGTGTGCCCTCAGGAGCCCTCTATGGAGCCCCAGCCTGTCCAGAGGCTTCTGAGGGGGCAGACATGGCCCTGGGGACACCCCAATGACACCCCAGGGTCCACCCCACACAGGCCCGGACACACCTTTAGCCCAGAGGCCTGCCCCTCCCCTGTCCTCAGTCCACGGAAACATCGGAAGCTCAGAACATTTATTTTTCTATTTGTGTCCCCCGCCCCCTGCCCCCCACCCGTCCAGAGCTGGCCATGACCCCAGCAGGCCGCATCCGTGTTTCCCTTCTGGCTGGGGCAGGGGCCTTGGTGGGAAGGCCTGTGCTTCCAAACTCACACGCCCCCCCCCACGTCCCATGGCCTCAGGGGATGGGGCAGCCTCAGAAGCCCCGCCCGCCACCCCTGCCAGCCCGCAGGTAGCTCTGCCCTGGCTGGGCACCCAGCCTGTCCCTTTACCTCATTCTTCAGCCCCCCGGCCCACCACGGGCTACAGGTCCCACACAGGGACTCCGTGGGACTGAGACCCCGCTGCTCCAGCCAGGCCTCCCTCTGAGCCGGGCCTCAGGTCAGGCAGGCAGTGGGCAGGGACTAAAACCCAGCAAGAGTCCCCTGCCCCGTGCAGTGAGGCTCCGCTCTGCCCTGCAGCCCTCTCTGGGCCTCAGTCTCCCAGTCTGTAGAATGGAGTCAGGGCCTGCCCTGAGCGTGCCTCTCGGAAAGTCCCCAGCCGGCCCACTGACTTGGCCCAGGCCCAGCCCCCCCAGAGGCAGCACTTGGGGGGAGGCAGCCAACATCCCCCAGAGGCTGCCGCCTGCTCCAGGCTGCTCTAACAATGT